CTCCGTAAAATTGCGTTTTAATCTACAAATTAACAAATAATTTAACCTGTTTGCGAGACTAACATACCATTTGATTAATTCTTCACGAGCAGTCTTCCCACGTGACACAAATTCATTAATCCCATCTGTCTCTGTCCGTCTTCAGTCGGTTTCTGCGCGACCTTAACCTCTATATTTTGTATTAAAGTGGCCTATGTCCACTGTTACTACGTTTCATGCATCAAGCGATCACTCGCTTCCTCTACATTTCTCTTAAACGCAACTTCTGTGTTTCGTGAAGTTTTAACCTCGTAAGCAAAGTTATTTTTCACGGCATAGAATATTCTAAAATCCAGTCGCTAATAGTACAAAAATCAGGGGTGATACAGTTGTCTGTTAGTATCATGACAACGAATCACGTGAAGACGGGGGTACATCCAACTCCTAAAGTTCCGTGTAGACGTACGTAAATTATACGCTAAACAATTTCCAACGCAGTTCTGGCGTATAGAATCACAGTCATTACAAAGGCGTTTAGAGGGCCAGCGGTCAGGTTTTATGACTGCTGACTGCGAGGATATTCAAAGAGAGCAGGCCTTTTCGGATATCTTCCGTTTATGTGAGAAGAATTTTAAGACTTGCAATCTTAAATCAATATCAGTCAGGACAGTCGGTGACCCGGTCGAGATCTGAACCATTGACTCTCGCGTAGAGGATTTACAGTTCACCATCTTAACTCGGTGTGATTTCAGTTTTGTGTTTCGAATACTTCGGGTGTATTTTTTTATAAAATCTGAATCCACTTGCCTAAAACTGTAAAAGAATCACCAGATATGTGGCTACAGTAGCAATGATCGATCCTAATAAATTGTAGTTAATTATGAAGAATCCCCAGGCTGTGAAATGTAGTAATATTAATGTGCGTAATGGAATTGGAAGTACATGATAAGAAAGCTCGTAATGAATCATCACGACGTTTAATATAAATTTAATGACGTCATTGTACTAATTCGCAGATGCTTGATGTTTCCAGGTGGAGGTCGTAAGTGCCAGAGTAAGAACTTGGAAGCATAATAATAATAATAAAATTCGTATTTTAAACTTTGGCGTCTGAACGAACTGTGACCGATACCATGTAGGGTGTACTAGAGATTTTTCTTTTACGATTTCTAAAATATGTTCTCTTGTTATGTCCCTTCTCATTTTCACAATTCCACGTTCCAAATTTTGAAAAACCATTGCTTCTGCAACGTAACAATTGAAAAGTCAATATATTCTCCTCTACACTTCATTATACTAAGTGTATTAGCATCGCATCGCTCCGTAAAATTGCGTTTTAATCTACAAATTAACAAATAATTTAACCTGTTTGCGAGACTAACATACCATTTGATTAATTCTTCACGAGCAGTCTTCCCACGTGACACAAATTCATTAATCCCATCTGTCTCTGTCCGTCTTCAGTCGGTTTCTGCGCGACCTTAACCTCTATATTTTGTATTAAAGTGGCCTATGTCCACTGTTACTACGTTTCATGCATCAAGCGATCACTCGCTTCCTCTACATTTCTCTTAAACGCAACTTCTGTGTTTCGTGAAGTTTTAACCTCGTAAGCAAAGTTATTTTTCACGGCCTAGAATATTCTAAAATCCAGTCGCTAATAGTACAAAAATCAGGGGTGATAAAATTGTCTGTTAGTATCATGACAGCGAATCACGTGAAGACTGGGGTACAGCCAACTCCTAAAGTTTCGTGTAGACGTACGTCAATTATACGCCAAACAATTTCCAACGCAGTTCTGGCGTACAGAATCAGTCATTACAAAGGCATTTAGAGGGCCAGCGGTCAGGTTTTATGACTGCTGACTGCGAGGATATTCAAAGAGAGCAGGCCTTTTCGGATATCTTCCGTTTATGTGAGAAGAATTTTAAGACTTGCAATCTTAAATCAATATCAGTCAGGACAGTCGGTGACCCGGTCGAGATCTGAACCATTGACTCTCGCGTAGAGGATTTACAGTTCACCGTCTTACTCGGTGTGATTTCAGTTTTGTGTTTCGAATACTTCGGGTGTATTTTTTATAAAATCTGAATCCACTTGCCTAAAACTGTAAAAGAATCACCAGATATTTGGCTACAAAAATAATAATGTATCCTAATGGAGTGTCGTAAACCGAATCGCCCCTTAGAAATGTCAAAAGGGGCACGTTCTAGTTCTTAAGTGTCATTACTTCCCCTGGAGACCCCCTCTTACGTACACTGTGTGTAAATAAACAGTGAAATTATCAAATAAATATAAATACCAAATCTATTTCTTTCGAAACAATCCAACATAAATATACACTTATTCAATTTTCACGCGATCTCTTCAGCTTAAATCCACAATAACAAAGACACCCCAATATTTGCATCAAACGATGTCTTAACTACTTACAAGAAAATAAACAAAACACTCTCTCACTTTCAAAAAAACTCACTCGGCCTTTGTTTCTCCCCGAGAGATAGGGCAGCTACCCTCCTTCCGTGAGCCTCGTACGCCAAAGCCAAACACACACAAACAATGAAACGACTACTTCTAAATCTCGCGGAAAACACGTCAGTACAGAAGCACCCGAGTGAATCTTGTGCTAGCGAGAATCAGGCAAGATATTCCAAACCCCCCCCCCACACACACACACACACACACATCCCAGTAAAAAGAATGGTACAGATCCTGGCACTACTAGTTCAATCCACCCTCACCCAATCTCCGTTTAACCTCACAGCACACAAGAACAGACAGGGTCGGTTCAAATAACCCCCGCCCCCCAGATGGTTAAAAACATTTAGACGTTTCTGCATCCCCACCCGAGGTTTCGGTTCGGTTTCCAGTGTTTGTTGGCATTTGTTCCTGTAATCTTCTGACCACAACAAATTTGGCCTTGGCATCTTTATTCTGTCGTGCTCAGTTTTCAGGCTAAAAGCCTAACCTAGAACAGTATTTCTAGGTTATAATCTTTGTCCATGCAACAAAAACTTTGGTCTTGTCACTGTTCATCCATTATGATTTGTTTCCAAGACAGAGACAACTTTTTTCATTGGGAATCAAACTCAGGACACTACCTTCCTATGTTTCCTTCCCAGTTTTGAGAAAGGAAGAGATTTTAGAGAGGTTAAAAATCCAAAAAAAATTCTCCACAGTCTGAATTCAGGTGAGGACGATTTCTGTAGCTTGAATAATGTTGCCAAGGCCTTAATTGGGAGTTTGCGCTATGTAGGTTACTAATGCCAAACGCGTTTCGACCTCAAGAGGTTATAATCAGAGGCACGAAAATAAGATAATTCGTGTAATACAAATCAAAATATCGTGGTTTTAGCAGAGCATGAAGGCAAGTTCTTTACGAAACAATATTTAGTAAAACACTTACCTACACTGGCTGTTGGTGGCACAGGTGTTCGTAAACTGGTCTCAAGGCCGTTGCTGGTCTGCGGTGAGTCTCGGTTGCGTAGTGTAACACAGAACTCGAACGATGCGCTGGCGTTACTGTCAGTTTTTTAAAATGTCTACCGTATTTATTAACTCAAATCAGGGTGGCCAACTATTGCATGTGAAATTTACTTTTTTCTGTTTATAGCCAGGTAAAATAACACATTGGAATCACGGGCGTTCTGTTCGTTTATGAAGTTATGGTTTTTGCTATTTTTATATATATATATGGAATTTTTCTAAAATGTCAAGTATTTTACCTTTCAAGGCTATTCTTAATACGTCCACGATATCTTCCATGAGGCCGTATTCATGTCCGTGGTCGAGGATGTGTTGGGCGTATTTCGATTTAGTTAATTTGAATCTGATATCATGGACATGTTCTTTAAACCTGGTTTGCATCGGAATTTTATGGTGTTATATTGACTTTTGATATTCGTGTTCAAAGTTTTAATCCACATATCTAATCTGAATCAAAATTAAATTTTACTGATATGTTTAAAAACATCGTTTTATGATAATTCCTTCAGCAAAAAAATAGTTCATGCATACAAATATAAATTTAGAATTTACTTATTCTTTTTAAATTTAAATTGGCATGATATAATGGACATTTTAATGAAATAATTGACACTTCCATTCAAAAATTTAAATTTATACAGTCACAACGTTTGTGAGTACATCTGTACTCAATACAAATGATTTACAAGCTTTTAATTTTCTGAACAGCTCCTTGAACTAACTTAACTTCCCAAATTATTAAGGTCATCTGCCTTAATTACCTTATTCTGATCTATAAATAATCAATGTCAGTATCTGATCGTATCAGAATTCAGGAATCTAATGTCGTAATCTATACTGAATATTTGTCATTCACATCCATCAGCAGAAGCTACTTCAGGACATTGAAGAATGTTTAAACTTGTTCATAGTCATCATTAAAAGTGAATAAATCGTCAATCATAACTCATTATATTTTTTTCCCATAAATGATAAAAGAATGTATTCATTAATTATATATTCATATCACTTACGTTCACAACCCTTACACTGATGAACAATTTGATCACAGCTTTAAGGTTAAACCTTCAGATCAGCAGTAATATACAGCGTGTCCACAAAGTCCCTTCGAGGTTTTGAAATATTGTGACGCGCAAACAAATTGAGCTAGCCGCATGCGGTTTGCGGAAGATTACAGTGAAACTGGAAGATGGTGATCCACCTCATTGGGGTCTGCAGTTACGCGCGTACCTAGACAGGACATTTCCAGGAATATGGATCGGCAGAGACGGTCCAATGCCTTGGCCTCCACGTTCACCAGACTTAACACCACTGGATTTTTTTCCTGTGGGGTTATGTCAAGAGCAAAGTGTTCCGAACATCAGTTAACGGACATGATGACCTGAATGCGATCTCGGCTATTCGAGCGGACATGCTCCACAGAACATAGCAAGAGCTCGAATATCATCTGGATGTTCTCCGTGCTACCAAGGGAGCCCACATCGAGGTCTACTGAGGTCAGTAAGAAACTTCCAGAGTTTCACTGTAATCTCCCTCAAACCGCATGTGACTAGCTCAATTTGTTTGCGCGTCACAATTTTTCAAAACCTCGAAGGGACTTTATGGACACACTGTATTTTCCTACGAGCAAACATGAATGTAAATTTTGTTGAAACACTTTACGTAACTTAAATCTAAAGCACTGGTATGCACGAAGATTTTAAACTTAATATAGAAGAGAAATTTCATAACTTATTATTCCATTAACTTCAACGACTTAGCATAAGAACAGTACATTCTCAATGGCACTTCAAACCATTCAGCTCTTTGCAAGAAGATCATTTTACGAGGAAATTTTCACTGACAGCCGCCAAACTGTGAACAATCAGGTTTTTCTTGGCTGGAACTCGAAGCGTGTAGCTCACTGCAAGCTGGAGTCATAAACATGAGAGTAGCCTCGTGTTGAACATTTCCTCCGCCCGGGTTTGTTTCTCGAACTGCCACTCGATACTTGCAGCAGAAACTTAAGTCATAAAGATCGTACTGTGCCACCTATACAGTAAAATATCTGCATAAGAAACCTCTCTATTACCATTGACAATGTTCCTTATTTTATTTATTTATTGTTAGTGTTCTGTCTGACGACAGGTCCATATGAACAGGATCCTTCCATCCTTTTCTTTTCTCGGACTGGGACCTGTTCATATACGTTCTTGGCAGATGATCCAGAAGTGGTTTGCCATTGCCTTCTTCTGTGTGTGAATGGAGTAATTGTTGGGATGCCACGGAGGAAAACTCCGTGTTGCCTAGACCACGGCCTTGCCCAACACAAGTTATAAATTCGGGCACCGCCGGGAATCGAACCCGAGACCCCCAGGATTACAAGGCCAGCGTTCTAACCGCTAGACCACCGTGGCGGGGAATGATCCTTATTCTCATTAAAATACATTACGTGATACATTTCGCACGCAGAATATTTATAGAAAATGTTTTAAATTTTTACTATTTGGGTTACACACTGTATGTAAATTTGAATATGTATAATAACAAGTTTAATGTCGTGTTTTTAATCTTTATCTATTTTTCTCTCTTATCTTTGTAACATGATAGTTCTGGGTTCGTGCACACGTCAGTCTACGTGGGATATAGTGGACAAACTGGCACTGGGACAGTTTTATCTCTGAGTTCTTCGGTTTTATCCTGTAAATATCATTCCATCGCTGCTTCATTTTTAATTATGTAACATCTGTTAAATGGACAATGGTAACCAAAGTTCCATCGAAACATAGTCTCACATGATCGTAACAATAACATGGGAAAAACCAACATAATATTTGAATTTATGCTTTTAGTATTCATAATGAAAGTAAAGAAATTGTTAAAACAAATTTGAATCACAATGTCATTTACATAGAATGGATCAGAAATGCTGGTCTAAGAATCCCAGCCAGAATGAGTAATCATATGTGGGGTTATGGTGGGTTTTATCATGTTGGCTGATGTTATAAGTTAATTTGTTTCTTTGTTTAAAGACTGATTTTGAATATACAGGGTGATTAAAAAAGATTGTCGGGGTTTTAAAAAATCACTACATGTAGTGCAATTGAGGTAGGAATATGAATCCTGTTTTATTGTGTAGCAAAACTCTCAAAGTTTTTTACGTGCATTATAAATGCTCAACATATGCGCCTTTTGTCACTCTGCAGACAACTACACGATAGTCCATTTCTTCCCACATGCCCCAGCGTGTCAGCGGTGATGTTTAGAATGGCGGCTCTGATACGCACCTTCAGATCCAGGATAGTCGCAGGTAGAAGGGGGACAAAGACTTGATCTTTCACGTAGCCCCACAGAAAAAAATCACATGGTGTTAAGTCCGGTGAACGAAGTGGCCAAGACAGGAGCTTCTGATCAACGTCGGTCCCGCGTCCTATCCATCGCTGCGGTAAATGCTGGTTTAAAAATGCCCTGACTTCCCGATGGAAATGAGGTGTGGCGCCATCTTGTTTCAGTATGAAATCAGCTCTGTCCTCATTCAGTGACCATATCCAGATAAGTCAGTCCTGTTACTGTCTGTTCGGCGAAGAAAAACGGTGTCATATACCTTCATTTTGGAAACAGCCCAGAACACATTCACTTTGGGGGAGTCACGCTGATGTGGGGATTTTCCGTCCCCCAAACTCGAATATTGTATTTATTAACTTTTCCACACAAATGAAAGTTTGCTTCATCACTAAAAATCAGTCTGTCACAAAAGCCATCTTCTTCCAATAGTTGTTGCAGTGCAGTGGAGAAAGCCCCCTTTCGGTGGTTGTCATCAGGTGTTAAAGCTTGAAGCAGCATTAGGCGATATGGCTTTAATTGTCGGAGGACGGATCCTTCCCAAATTTCGTGTGGAAGTGCCGTTGTACAATGGTAACAGACCGACTTTGATGATATTCGAGAGTATAAAACGCCTTCCCCTTACCGTTAGCCGCCATATTGCAAAAGCTGACACCTGGCGGCCAAACGCGTAACTACTGGATGGCGGGGCTGTACAGAACAAAACTTTGAGAGTTTCTCTATCCACCAGTGAAATAATAATAGTCGTATGTTTAATGCGTACCCCGCAAAACCCCGACAATCTTTTTCAGAGAGCCATGCTATGACAAGAAGTTACGTGTTCTTTGCTATCTGAACCACAAATGAAAATGATGGACCCACTCACAGTCCAATAGAAAATCATTTAAAATATGATCTTTTTGTTACAATACGTACAAGTGCTTCGAAAGCACGTCCAAGAAGTCAACATAACCCTACTTAATTGTAGATTGTATGCTGGGTGCCACGAATGCAAAACATGGTGTTTAAAACACGACAGAACCTCTCGATGGATAATGTCTCTTGCCATGTGGTAAGTTTAGTGACATTAAAACGTACCTCTGTGGTTGCAGCTAGCTGGCTTCGTGGTTGCAGCGTGGTAACACCAGGGCCATGGCAGTGTCCTGACCACCACGCAACTGTGTATCTGGGAGAGGAGACTCCCTTCATAATGGGCCTTGGTGTCCATATTATCTTCGCGAGGAGTTGGCCACGACTCCAATATAATTTCTGAACCTTCAGTCCTTCTACTCTGCCAACACTTCGCTTACCATTTCCATCATGAGATCCAATGTTGACCTCGCTGACTGCAGATCACATTTTTAGTATGTTTAATAGTTAATACAATTATACAACAAAAAATATTTTAATACACTTAAACGCACAAGGATAACCTACAAACTACCAGCAGTGAGTGGCTGTTTCACACTGCGTGTTTCTGTTTTTTAACATCTTATGACATCACACAGACTTTTAAGAGGTTAATACCTTATCTTTCGTATCTACATATACACGGAATAACATACTCGAGTTTTTAAAGACTTTACACAGTTATAGAACTTCTAAGTAAATAAAAATATCATAAAACAGCTCGTTCTTATTTTTTTTATTTTGTTTAGAGAATCACATTCCATATACAGGAAACTCTCGGTTTACGAACGTTTGATTTACGAACATTCGAGTTACGAACATTCGAGTTACGAACATTCGATTTACGAACATTCGATTTACGAACATTCGATTTACGAACATTCGATTTACGAACATTCGATTTACGAACATTCGATTTACGAACATTCGATTTACGAACATTCGATTTACGAACATTCGATTTACGAACGTCATAATTCATCCAAAACTTCTTAAAGTCGCCAATAGATAGAGTTACTTATAAAACAAAATGCCAAACGTATAGCGAACATAATTGTAAGTTTTAAACAAATAAACTTTTAAAAAATGTATTTATTACAATAATTATCAGAAAATTATTACATGATAATTATACTGAACTGTCCTTGGATATTAAAAATAATCTAGCCAGTAAAAAACGTTGGTTTACATGCCACGCCCCGTAGAATATTTTCTCGCATAACACATACATCATAATAAAACGTATTGAATAGACCATTCGATGTTTATTACACAGTTTTAATGCTTTAAAATGGCTGATAACGTATACGATATGCATCGTAAAAGCTCAGGAATGCAACGAATAACGTCTTGGAACGGAATTCGTTCGTAAACCGAGAGGTGCCTGTACCTTAGTAAGCAGGAAAAATCACATTCAGAAAATGCTAAGATGCTATTACAGCACATAACCCAAGAATGAGATAAACTACAGTACATATAATTAGAATAATATCAAATAATTTCTCACTAATTTAGCAAATATTTATAAATACCAATAGCTATTATAACACTAAACTTAAAATATCAATAAATAAATGTCACGTAAATTCCACATACTTAATTTACTACACAGTGAAACCAAGTGGCTTCTCATAGCAATTGGGTTAATGATGTATTATCTAATATTTTATTATTATTATTTAGTGTTCTGTCTGACGACAGGTCCATATGAACAGGATCCTTCCATTCTTTTCTCGGACTGGGACCTGTTCATATACGTTCTTGGCAGATGATCCAGAAGTGGTTTGCCATTGCCTTCTTCTGTGTGTGAATGGAGTAATTGTTGGGATGCCACGGAGGAAAACTCCGTGTTGCCTAGACCACGGCCTTGCCCAACACAAGTTATAAATTCGGGCACCGCCGGGAATCGAACCCGAGACCCCAGGATTACAAGGCCAGCGTTCTAACCGCTAGACCACCGTGGCGGTACTTATGCTAATATTAAATGTGCCGGTATACGTGGTTGTGATTTGGTTCTATTCGTGATTATCTTGCTGCCTCAACGGTCAATGTAATTTCGTGTCAACGGAGGAGTGTTTCGTGTTCTTCCTGCATCGTTAAATTGCTCGAAATTTAGGAACATTCCAGACGCTGGAAAGACCGAGTTAACAAAAGGTTTTACGGAAAGAGGAAACTGAAACGAGACATTACAGTAGATCAAATTAGTAGTTGCTATATTCTCAAGGCTTTATTTGTTTGGCACATTATAAATACTACAATTTTCATTTTACTCTTTTTTTTTAAAAGCCTCGTATTTTAGAAGGAAGAGAGAGGACCTTAAGGCTTACCATTTATATGATCTGCCGTATTGAGGAAGATGGCTGCTTTTTCACCTTTAAGTCGTTCATGTCCAAACTGTGTTAGGGCCTGCACTTGCAGAAAATACAGCGAATCGGGCTCCAAGTTTTTCAGGGCAAACTTCATAACATCCTGAAATATTTGACAGCAATAATGCCTTCTGTTTATATATATAAAAAAAATAAAAAAAAAATATTTTTTTTAATTCTGCACGTATCCAAAAAATATATTTTTTTAATTCTGCACATATCCAAAAAATATATATATATTTTAATTCTGCAAGTATCCAAAAAATATATTTTTTTAATTCTGCACGTATAAAAAAAAAATATTTTTTTTAATTCTGCACGTATCCAAAAAATATATTTTTTTAATTCTGCACATATCCAAAAAATATATATATATTTTAATTCTGCAAGTATCCAAAAAATATATTTTTTTAATTCTGCACGTATAAAAAAAAAATATTTTTTTTAATTCTGCACGTATCCAAAAAAAATATATATATATATATATTTTAATCTGCACTGGAGGATTATAATAAGTTGGTGTAATATTATTGAATGTTATACTTATGTTTGTAAATTGTAGCATGGTAAATTTTGCCAACGTGTAACAGCCTAAATGATGTTACAAAACATATCTGAAACACAATATTACAAATAACATAAAGGGATCTAATGAATATATAACCCAGTTCCTGACACTTCAATTGCCCTGACACATTCTTCTTCTCCAATCCACGGATTAGGCCGATGAAATCCACCTTCTGCGTGGTCTTCCTCTGGGTCTATACCAAAGGACCTGTTTCGAGATTCGTCCTTCTCCCATCCTTTCTACATGTTCCAGCCATTCTTGTTGATGTATTTTTATCCCGTAATTAATTTAAAATGCTTCAAATTCCTTTCTTATATCTTAATTCCTGATTTTGTCCAATCCTGTACATCCATTCACAGATCTTAAAAATCGTATTTCCGCTGTTTGTAATTTTTGTATATATCTTATCCTCACTGTCCGACATTCACTTCCAGTAGCGCAGGAACAGCCATCACTTCATAAAACTTTGTGTATCTTTCCTAGTTTTCCCTTCAAGTGTTCGCATTTTGGAATTTTGTAATCTTATTATCTCTATATTTATTTTGTACAGTCTATACACAAACGTTTGAAGTTTATTGGTTTACGATTAAAAGCGCTAATATAATATTTTACACAATAAAATGTTTTAATATTATATAATTTTTTACAACACCAATAAACTTCAAACATTTGTGTATAGACTGTACAAAATAAATATATTTAATTCAAACACAAACATGACGCATATAAGATACAAACTTATTATCTCTGTCTGTTTCCTAGATATTTGAAGTCGTTGACGTTTCCAAGAGTTTTATCTTCTTTTACAATTTTTTTTTTCGAAATGGATACTTCCCTTCAAAAGTTTCATTTATCAAGATCTTCTAATTATATATTTCGCATATATAATTAAAGTGAAATAAATATCTCCGCAGTTCATCTTCGCTTTCTTGAATTATAATTTGGTCATCTGCAAACAGCAATGTATTCAGGGCAACCATTTTCTATAACCATATTCCTAGATTACGTCTCGTCTGATTTTTCATCAAATCAAAAAAAAAAAAATGATTTTGCGTCATTGAATAACCTACCAACTTCACTGAAAGATGGAAATAATAGAACCTATTTTGGGACAGACGAACAGAGACATTTATCTTAATACAGCTTTCATCTTGTGAGAAAATAATAAGTTACCGGATGTCCATTTGCTGTGATAATGGAATTTTCTACAGCCATTGTACTTTCCTGCTTCTTAATGGACTTGTAATGTTCAATCAGCGCAAAATGGTCATACGAGAAATGTTATACTGATTTATCTATAAAGTGTGTGTAAGTCTTCGTTCGGTAGGCTACAGAATTGCTAATGAAATTTCTTTACATGAACCAAAAATAATGTAATGAATCTTAGCGTGTATCGTTCTTATAAAATGACTACCCGAACATAATATTATGGTTTAAGAACCCACAGCTCTCCTCACGTATTCCCGGAATGTTACGCAAAGCAGATCTAGACTTGTAAAAGACAAACATTACCATTTATTGCGATATACTTACAGAAATTAAGGTTTATATATATTCTTTCTTGATTCTGTTACATTTCGAATGTAAAATGTAGTATCGAAGTGTTAATATTAGCCTTCTCATGAAGACCTACTCCATGGAGTTAGTTATATGTTAATTATATATAACAGTTTTCAAGCGAGTGATGGAATTATCAGTATAAAGATATAATTACACATTATATATATATTTTTAAATTAAACTGTTAATACGACCACAATAAAAAAATTAAACATTACTGTATTATACAGCATTTGCATATGTTTGAGTCACATTTTCAAAATTACTTATCAGAATTTTAAATTACGACACTGAAGTATTCTTTTATAAAAAAAACTATATTTCCACATCATTTGTCATGTCTCGACTGTTCAAACACGCCAGGTTGACTGCAATGGGCCTTACCAATTCTCGAACGATACCTGATTAGTCTTCGCTAACCGAGGCAACATTTGTTTTAAAATAGGCCACAACTACTCTCTATCACTTGTCTAAACAAATTAGGAAATTCGGAAAACATAAACAAAGCGTAACAATTCTAGCGCGTTTTCTAGAATATAACCTCTAACCTCAGTTAAAAACAGGGATTCCCTGCTTTGAATTCCTCACACGAATAGGGATTCCCCACTAGAATCACAGTGATACAGTACATTGATCGTATTCATTTGTTTTGTTTATATCTTGAATGGTAACTTATGTGAGAAAAGACACCAATACGGATATTATCAGCAGTATATTAAACGAAGGTTCATTACCGTGTTCACAGAAGCCCGCCACCGGATGCTAATCTGTGCCAGATTAACTCAATCCACAATCCCACACCATATTTCTTTTCTAACCAAAGAATCACTTAAGTCCAAAGCCCTGTATAACTTCTCGTAACGTACAGGTATTAAAAGATTAAGAACTGTTAGCCTGAGATAGTGATTTTTCGGTATATTCGTTCTTCTGGAGGACGTCTCTTCCACGTGTAACTTGAGAAGCTAATTCCAAAATTGTTAAGTGAAACACAAAGACATTTATGCATTGATATTCCGCGAGAATATCTGAGATGCTAAGAAGAGCATTTGGACCAAAGTCACAGAAGCCTGAAGAGAAATCAGTAATCAAAAACTCCACAGTTTTACATCAAATCAAGGATGATAGGATGGGTGGGGGATGTAGTTCGCACGAAGGACATGAGATATGCGTGGAACATTTTCGTTCGAAACTGTGAAAGTTAGAATCACTCGGAAGACGTAGGTATTGGTGGAAAGATAATATTAAAATCTTTAGCAAATCTGGATTCGGGGCGTGGATTGGATTCTTCTACCTTAAAATAGTTACTGATAACGGGTTCTTGTAAACATGGTAATGAACCTTCGAGCTCCATAAAAGACGTGAAATTTCATGACTAGCAGAGCGTGCTATTAATTTTTAATAAAGAATCTATTTAACGTAAATATTTCCTTAGTTCGTTAGTTACATGCTTTTCGACAGACCAATTTTATATAATATTTAAATCTCTGATATTAGAGCATCATCTTTTTCACGACATGTTTCGGTTTTCAATGAACCATCTTCAGGTGTATAATCGATATAAATTTAAATGTAATATTCTAAATGCAATCCTTCGTCAGATGTCCATTAAATATCGAAAAGTTATCCTCTTCTAGATCAATTGTACTTTGTTATCACATTCAATGTTGTTTCGTAAATGTATGTTAATTATAGTGTGATCTTGCGTGGGTGAAATGTTTGTAGTGGTGTTTTAATCGGCCTGATAATTCTTAAATTTCATGAGTTTTATTGACAAAGTACAGAGGCGTTTTAAAAAAAAAATAGCAAGATAAGTCTCGCGTATGAAGTTTCTAAATTCATGTCCCGAAAATAAAATCGTGCATTTCTGTAACGTTCTTTGTTTGGAGTTGAGCCTTTTCTGCACAAGACGTCGATGCTTCTGTTAAAGGTATGGCGCCACTGACGTTTCAGTACAGTGGTGTCAGACGCCCACAGAGGTCGCGCTGTCAAGGTGATATTTCCTTCCCTGTACCTGTACGTATGACGTCACTATAACACATTACATATAAGGGTGCAGGATGATAGAACGTTTATCTGATATCATCTTTGACTTCGTATCATCTGGACGAACAAGAGGAGAAGATGGGAGATTTGCTCGTCGAGGAGAACATGTCTCTCTCATCTATGACTTCAAGACCAAGAGTAAGTAACCGCTTTGTATACTTTCTCCGTCATATTTCAGTCTTTTCAAAGTTGAAATTTTTTTTTATTGCTTTGCAAGACGCTGGAAAACGTGTGCAATTCTATAAATAAAATAAATAATAAAATATGTTGGATAACTGGTAGGAGGTGAAATGATTTCGTCATATTTTGCCAGTACCGAGACCTCGCGATATTAAATCTGTTCATAAATACGTCTCTCTTCCTATAATTCTTCAGTTTCAGATGATGACATGCCTGGCTTTGCTGTTTTTCTCGGCGGTATGCAATTCAAACGCAATAAACCCTTTTCCCAAAAGATGGGAAGGCCAAGACTCACCCATCACCGGGAGACACGTTCCTGAAATTGGCGACTGCACGGAAGGTCCTTGTCTAGAGTGGGGTAATTTCCAAGACGACGAAAGGTAAGTACCTTGAGATCTGACGTCTCCACGGCGGTTAACACGTCCGTGTTGGTCTTCTAGGTTGTAACGTCATGTAAAATTATAATCAGAGACTAGTGTTTCGAGGAAACATGTTGCCTCCTTCTTCAGGGCTCACAATCATCGAAATATACTCCTCTTATAATGTATGTGGTTGGAACGTCGTTAAAAAAAGTTTTAATGTTTTATTGCTCGTTTCTACTTTTCGGTACTTTGACGCAAAAGTGTAGAAATTAATTTGCGTAATCATTTTAGAAAGTGCGAAAAAATACCAGAAATCGAAATGCAGTCTTTGCTGAAAATGTCGCTGTAGATTACATGAGCGGATATTTCTGATATTAAAATACATCTTCAAGTCCTAGGCAAATAATTAATTTTAAGTCGCGTATATTATTAAGGCTTTGACCGGGATGTTCTTTTGTTAAATCTTAAGTGGTACCGCCTGATTCGACTTCTAATGGTTAAGTGAAGTGTTTTCTTCGCGGTACGGACTGAATTCATAAATAATATTCAGACTATCTTCGGCTTCAAAGGGTTAACGAAATATTAAACATGTAATTGTCCTAAGTGAATATCTGTGGAAGTCCACGTTTTACAAGGTAAAATATAGGGGTTCCATAATTATAACAGAAGATCTAATAGCCATGAAACCAACTGACATAAACAAAGAAACGTCCAAAGTTTTTAAGCTTACGAAGAAGTTACACTTTTAGAAAGATCCATTTTAACTTTTTCATCCCATATCCGCCTAGGTCGTCCAAGTTGTCACTTCCATTCATATCTTCCAAAACAAAACAAAAATTCATACGCGTGCTACACGTCCCACTCATCCAATCCTCCTTGATTTAATAACCCTAATAACGACATTTAAAAACAAACATTCCAATGCCAATTTCAAAAGAATTTTCTTATGTTCCAGGTTGCTTCTCCTACTGAATAATATTGACGAAGACAACATTAACGGCGAGGAGGCATTAGTTAAACGGGGCCCGCCTTCACCTTTGAACGCAGAATTCAGCCTGATTCCGGTTCCTGACACAAGAGCCCGATTCCGGAATTCGAACCCGTCCCAGTGTTCCTGCCGCTCAGACACTACCACCCAACTCGATTTAGGTTTCGGGTATTTTCCGAGATACTGGTCACATCTTATATGCAACGACGAGTCCTGTGGTAGTCCACATTACCGCTGCGTCGCTATGAACTACACCGTCTTCGCCCTCAGGACGAGCATTACGGTCGACGAAGCTGTCCGACATACCGTGAACCCCAACAACAGATTCGAGGGCGTCAATGTCACCGTTGCTTGTGTCTGTCAGAGGCATTATCCACAAGGTTAGATGGAAGAACCATGAAAAACCTCTTTATAACACACATCGAAGAATCTCGTGTTCAGAATCAGCTTAACACGACGAGCCGAGTTACAAAATTTTACACTTTATTCATAAAATGCAAATGTCTACCATCTCATCAAACTTGTTTTTTTAAAAAAATGAACAGATTATATACATAAATATAACAGCGGACTTTTTCACGCTAAATGAACTTCGTAGGTTATTAAACAGCGCTGGATCAACTGTAGAAATTTCAATACTTCGAATTAAACCATAATAAAACGTATGGTGAAGACGGAATAATATTAAGGCGTCGTATTAATTATTAATAATGTATTGGATGCACTGAGGAAAACTAAGTAATACCTGAATAGCTACTTTCCGGATGAAATTAAAATCAGTAATACAGCCGTCAAATTCTGGTATTTGGGCTTTAACTATCAAGAATGCTTTGATTATTAATGTTCGAACCTCACGATATTGGAGGAAACTAATCCTTATAATTGTAATATCCTGTCTGTGGATAAACTATCAAATATTCTGAAACTTCCTAAGTTATGAGAATTATATCGGTCTATGTTATAAAGAGGTTTTACTACGAGAGTCAAACGAAACTAATGAAAAGGTTCCGTTTAATTACTTCAACTGTGTATGTAAACACTTTCGACTGCAACCAGAAGTTTATACTTCTCGTCTTTTCTTGTACAACACACAAACATCCTTGTAAGTCCCATTAACACGTGACGATTAAGGTTATAAGAGACTCTGAAATGTCTTCAGTACTTCTGTGCGCAACAGTATACCGGAACGCATATGAAATAGTTGTAACTTTCATAATTTCTAAGACAATTTCTTGGAACTGCTATAGAAAAAATCAATGTCTGTATTCAACAAATAAAATAAATTATTTGCACGGTAACATGACTTGTGATTTGTTTGTAACAAATATCTATGTTCTCAAGACAGCTCATAACAGGATATTCACGAACTAAATACACGATATTAAAAAAATGAATATATTCTTAAATTATTATCACGTTTTATAAATACTTTCGGACATTTCATTGTAGCTTATTATGTGCTCTGAACATATAACCTGACTTTAAATAATAATTGATCAAAATTAATTAAGCAAAAGACTAACACACGGGTTTTAGAATCTGAAGTCTAAATCTAATTCTTTTACGTGCGTTCGAAAATCTTTTGAGAGACTGTTAAAGTTGAAGACAATCGTCTTCAGAATCAGCGCAGTGAAAACCTCAAATCCTACCTGTCGACCGCTTACTTTCGGGACATTTTCATTTTTTCCGACGAAACCCCCGAGGGTAGGAGGGGGATAGCTTTCATTTCTTACTTAATTATACTCAGTATCTACTAAAATTCTGGCCTGCGTAAACAACTCACAGAACTGTAGTTCTTTTAGAGCTGAAACATTCTTTGTAAACATTCTAAATAATTCTAACATTTTATTCACAGCGAAATTATTAAATGTAGGCGTAACTGTCAGGAGATAAACACTGCGAGTCTAATACATTTTGACGTATTTTCTAGAAGCAAAGCCTTAATGATGTAGTAATGGTACAGGCAGTTTTATCTCGTGAAAACATAAATTAAACAAATAGTGGATTTTCATTTCCTTACCCGTGGGATTGTCTGATGCCTCACCAAAACAGATATCAGAGAGGAGGTTGCCCCTTGAAGTTGCCGACTCCAAAACACTTTGTATCGCTGAATGGGCAGGTCTGATACAGGAGGTTCCCAGCTTAACTCTCCCCACAAAGTGCCGTTCACTTTTACCAGCGAACCCACGGATAGCTTCAGCGGTGGACCGGGCGCCTTCGGAGCTGATTGTAACACAGCAATAAACACCCTGTAGCATGAACATTACTTCTACACGTGTCAATGAAATCCACGTAGTATAATTTTAATTTTATGGTTTGAATCCTGGTGTGTGATGAACACAGTTGTGAAAAGGCCTACTCACTATTACACCGTCGGCATTAGGATTAATAAAATCTTCTCGGGAAATCATCCGCGTCAACTAGTTACAGTAATAAACCGACGTTTCGGGAACCAACTCTGTCTCCATCATCAGGGTTCTGACGTGAGCCACATCAGAACCCTGATGATGGGGACAGAGTTGGTTACCGAAACGTCGGTTTATTACTGTAACCAGTTGACGTGGCTGATTACCCGAGAAGATTTTATTGATTGTACTCGCCGCGAAAGTCTCAAATCCTTTGGCATTAGGATTGTCTGAAACAAGAACAATTAGGCAAAATCAATGATCATACCAACTGAGAGGGTAAAAGGAAGGGACGGCTCGGAAAATCCCCTTGTACCCTCCGCGCTGACAGCTGCGACGCGGAACTGGTACCAGTGGCCAGGGCGAAGGGAGTTCTTCAAGGTCACGTTGGTTCGCGACGAACGGTGTCGCGGGACCCAGTTGGTTAGGCGAGCAGCTGCGAAATGGAGTCCCACGTGATGTCGCTCTTCAAGTAGGAAAAGCACGGGGTTTCCGAGTACCGATGGTTCTTGGGACCCTGCGAACCATTCGACCGCCACGGTACGACCTCTGCGTCGCTCCGTCACGGACAGGTTGGTCGGGACCGGCGGCAGACCTGTTATGAAACACCGCTGACTCAACTGTACAGGTTAAATAACGTTTACTGACGCTGACCTGCGCTATTACATGCCAGAGTAATCTTTCACGGAACCATAGATTTCATACATCCATGGTTTGACATCTGAATCCAGTTATACCAACCGAGGCATTTAGTTCTTAATTTATGAACACACGGAAGAAATCGGCGGACTCAGTACTAAGAAATGTGTATTTGTTGGGGGCACGGCTGCTATGGCCAATTCGAATTTGCATTTGAGACTCAAAATTTCATAATGTATTACGAAAATTAAATACTATCAAACTGTGTAACCGGTGATCGCTATGTGATGCGATATGCTACCGTATAATTTATAAAAACAGTTTGTCATTCAGCGTCGTTGAAGTTCACGCAACAAATTGTTCTCTTTATACAGCGGTCTGAAGTTTCTTATTAGTTGGTATGAATGTCACAATTCAGATAACTCTTCTACTTTCCGGCCAGAAAGAAAATGTAAAACTTTCTCCGAAAGAGAAAAGTTCCCCCCTTCCACAATCAATAGACCTACAATGGAATTCCTACTACACAAAAGGAAAGCCTATCTATAACAAAGAAATTATAACTTATATAAAACGTAACAGAAAGAAACTTCTCTTGGGCTCGAACAAAACGGAAATTCAACAATTCTATTATTTTTCTTATCTACAAACAAAGTTCTTCGAAATAAATCTGAAAAATATATTTACCCAGTAATAATGACGTTCTTGCACACAATCCTTTCAACCAGTACTCCAATATTTATACGACGATATACGATTCGGTTAAGTTTTAAATTTTTAATTCTTCAAGGTCAACAATCTTGTTTTGTAATACAAACTTCAAAAGACTCAACATAACAGCTGTCAGCCAATGAAATTCTGAATTTATTCCATAAGCTGAAGACTGGTCAGTAGTGTTCAACTGTACTAAGAGTACGATACAGTTAAACTTTCAGTTCATATGAACGTATGGTTACAATAATGAAGAAGGAAGTATTGGTTTTGGTCATTTTCATAGCAATAACAGGTATGACACGAACACTGGAACCAAAATTAAAATTCTTTCTTGAAGACAATATCTCTGATGAAACCAGGAGGAGTCTACGGGAGACATTGCTATGCAAATCAGACATACAAACAACTCGGGTAGCCGTAGCTACGGCTGGAAGACTTCAAGATTCAACGTCTGTGCCCTTTCTGAATATTCTTCGAGATATCAGCGACGAACAACCAGTGATCTTGTATTATCACACAAATTCGTCCTCAACAAACGGTGAAAATCAACCATCACGCAGACCTATAGGAAGAACCACAATGTTTGTGCTGTTTGTTAATGGAAACAATGACAAAGAATTCTCTGAAACTCTGAGAATTCTGAAGCAGTCAGAACATTGGAACGCAAGGGCTCAGTTTATTTTACTACTGTTTCAAACGTATAAAAATCTGGAAGACAAAATAGGTTTGATTTTTCGTATTTGCTGGCATAACCAAATGCTCAATGTGGCGTTGATTAACATGGAAACAAAATTCAAATTAATAACGGTGGCGGATCTAAATGTATATTCATACAACCCTTTCAATCAACACTCCAATACTACCAACATAATTGGGGTAAGTTTTGAGTCGTTTAAGAATTCGATGTGCAGATCTGACAGACAACATTTTTATTTAAATAACCTGCGACTACGGGATGTGAAAGGTTATCCTTTGAGAGTTTCGATGTTCGATCACCGACCGAAATCAATTTTAAAAGTAGGAGAAGACGAAAAGATCTACAGTATCGGAGGGGAAGACGGAATTCTTCTCAAGGTCCTGGCTAAACACATGAACATCACTCCGATTATACAAACTCCAAAAGACAAAGTAGTCACGAGTTTTCGCCGATCCGATGGTATCGTCACGGGTTCAACCGGTGATATAATTTATGACAGGGCCGACGTGTCATTCAATTCACGATTCCTCAGATTTGATTACATCAACGACGTTGATTTCACGTATCCGCACGACAAAGAAGGTTTCTGCATTATCGTCCCTAAGGCTGAAAGGATACCAGAATATCTGTGTATCTTTCTACCATTTCGTCCTGTAATCTGGCTCGCATGTGGGGTGAGTATAATTGTAACAGCAACTTTCTGGTATCTTACCGAATTAAGACGTAAAGGTAGATCATCATACATCAATGTTATTTTAAATGCATACGCTGTATTCCTGGCAACCTCTCTCAGATCTAACACTTCCCATAATTACGGAAGGATCATCTTCATCACGTGGGCATTTTCTTCAATGATACTGATTTCTACATACCAAAGTTCTCTGATTACCTACCTCATGAGTCCACAGTTCTATGACGACATCGACACACTCCAAGAATTTGACAAGTCGGGACTGAAACTCGTAATGTTCCCAGGTATAAAAGAAACTTCCCTTGTTGACAACCTCGACCCTCTGCGTGTTAGCTTGGATAAGAAAACGATTTTAACAACTCAGAACTTTTCGTCGTGTATACGCGACGTGATACGTCACAAGGACAGAGGATGTGCCTTCAATAAGCTGTCAGCTGACTGGACAGTTCGACAGGCGGAGTACTTCAGGAATGGTGAGCCTCAGCTGCATGTCGTGAGGGAGTGCCTGTCCTGGTACGCTGAAGCATATGAGGTTCATCGCGACAGCCCGTTCCTGCCTTACTTCAACGCCATAATTATAAGGATTTCTGAATCAGGATTAATCAGAAAGTGGAGAAAAGACGTGAAATTCAAAGTTATTTCGAAGCAACGTCGGATTTATTCCACATCTAAGCAGAAAACAGTTATGCAATTGAAGCATTTCGAAGCAGCTTTCTTTAGTTTGATTATAGGCCTTTTTATAAGCATGTTGGTGTTCTTATGGGAAATTAAGTTATCCGTGTTTCCTCATCGGCAGAGGAAAAGATGCAAATACGGGACACAATTTTGTTTTTGACATCAATCTCATACAACAAACTTATAAACAAAACACCTGCCTTAACGACAATAACATTTACCTTAATAACCCCATTTTTAATGCCCTCCAGTTCCTTGACCCCAACCCTGACAACCACCTTTCATCTACTCCCCACTAGCAACCGCATTCAGTATTAACCATTTGAAGCCGAAGATCGTCTGAATATTATTTAGGAATTCAGTCCGTACCGCGTAGAAAACACTACACCTCACCATTACGAAAATCAGCTGGTTAACCCTTTGAAGCCGAAGCTTGTCTTCATAATATTTACGAATCCAGACCGTACCGCGAAGAAAACACTTCACTTAACCATTAGAAGTCGAATCAGGCGGTACCACTTAAGATTTAACAAAAGAACATACCGGTCAAAGCCTTAAACCTTGATCGGATACGGTACTACTTCTGAATCACCTCCAAACACAACTGTGTTGTCTACTATTTCATCTCTGGTATGTTTATTTTACTTTCCTTATAATATTATTTATTTATTTAATTGTTTTCTATATTCATCCATATGTAACTGTTCCAATTGTAAATCGATTATTCGATATGGAACAAAGAATGATATTTTAATTATTTTAATTATCTTATTTTAAATACATTGTGATTTGACGGAATAACCAAATAATTTAATTTTAATCAACCTCTAAATCAACTCTGCAAATAACACCACAAAATGAAGTGAGGGGAAAGTCTATCTGGCTATAATAATTTTAAGTCCAGTAATTATTAAAAATAAAAATACGACGAATAGTGTAGGAAATTTTACAAATTGTATTACAAAACAGAAGTCCTCATATTCGTACCTGGAACGTTTTGAAGACCTTGGGCACGCTGACAGGTGACGCCGCAACTATGCGAGCAGCACTTGTCCGTCCCAGTACACTCAGGATCATCATTGCAGGCTTCGATGCAGGCTGCATCAAACACGGACAGCGACGAGGCATTCGGACACAGTCCTGGCTTCACATAATGGGACGACAAACAAGTTTCGACGCACTGAAAAAAAAAACACACTAAATTAACTTAAACAGTACACGTAAAAAATGAGAGAGAATTTTCAGTGAAGGGGGAATCCTTTTTATGTTTTGTGTAACACTGAATCATGTTTTGGTCGTTGCAGAAATGCAGCTGAAAATTTCCCAAGGTTGGTAAACTCCACACAACATTTCACGAAAATCGGCAAACCCCAGTGTTAATAAAGAATAAATAAAATATCTATATCCCGGTATTATTATTATTTTATTTTGTGTTCTGTCTGACGACAGGTCCATATGACCAGGATCCTTCCATCCTTTTCTCGGACTGGGACTTGTTCATATACGTTCTTGGCAGATGATCGAGAAGTGGTTTGCCATTGCCTTCTTCTGTGTGTGATTGGAGTAATTGTTGGGATGCCACGGAGGAAAACTCCGTGTTGCCTAGACCACGGCCTTGCCCAACACAAGTTATAAATTCGAACCCGAGACCCCAGGATTACAAGGCCAGCGTTCTAACCTCTTGAACAACAATAACAAATCAAAATGATATTTACGAGGAAATTAGGAAACTAAATTCTGTAAATGCTTGCTACTTCTCAGTTGAAAATGATTATTCGACCTGGTTCAATAACTTCTGAACATGAAACAAAGTATACAAATAAGCGACGAATCGATTAGACACTCAGTAGAATGTCAGTTACGGTGAGCGCTAGGGTCCATGTTTTGATGTTGATGGTAATGAGACAGAGATGACCCTGAATCTCCTGCTGCTAGTTAATGATGAGTTGGGTGATGATGCCCTGTATCAGTAGGACACTCGCTGATATAATCTCTCATTTCCACCTACCGTTTCATCTCCACCGCACGACACACGTACACTGCCTAATCACAACTAGCACGAAATTGCAAAACACATCTGTCCACCTTCACACTTGTTTCTAGAACAGGTGTTCTGATTAGGAGATCATTCTTTTTATATCACCCTATGAATATCCGTCTTGATTATTGTTTTACACGAAGTAATTACTGCTGCTGTTAGGAGATGTCTAACTGGAGCATAATAATGTAGATAAATGTAGAATTTGACGTTCTCCGGATGATGTTTGTTTATACAGTGTTATTATGAGTTGTTTCCAGAAGATTATACGGTTCAACAAACCAATAAATTCATTAACTAAGCTTACACAGTTTCCAAATGCAATATTTGCGATTTCGTGTCTTTGTTAGACTTGATGTTCAATTTATATAAACAATATTCCATTGTACATAAAGATAAGATTAATATCCTTATGAATTATTTGATAATATTAGCTAATCCAAAGTAATTTCATTTGGAAACGTGGCAATTATCCTTATTTTAAAACATATATAAAAATGTCTTAATAAAATTCCCTTCGAAGATAATACAATTTGGTTCATTATATACCAATCACATATAAACAACAAATACACAAAATCATGTTAAGCACGACGTACATATACAGAACAACTTCGAATACGATATTAAAATACAATAAAATCTGGAAGAAAACATCATTTTGATATCTGATAAACATCTGACTAAAAGTTGCATTTAAGAAATTATATTAAAGTTTATATAATTTATACACCTGAAGATAGTTCATTTGGAACTGAAACATGTCGTGTGAAAAGTGATGTTCTAATGTAAATCGAACATTTCGATAGAGAACATCATTTTAATATATTTTAAATATTTAAATGTTAATTATAGTAATATTTTAATATTTAATAGGAATTTTATTGTGATTATTAGTCTGACAAGATTAAACAAACAAATATAAATTCTCGTATGTGGTATCCGACTGTTGGATTCACAGTGGCCACCCCGATAACCGTAACTCAAATTCAGGTCAGGAACTTAAAATTCATCCGTTTTCTGATTAGGCTGTAAGAGACGAAATATGGACCGAATAGAGGTAGAAAAGATGACTCGTCCGTATGACGGCGTATAGTAGAACCTCTGGGCGATAGAACAATAATTCGACTCAGAAAGCGTATCAGTCTTTGTTCAATGGCAATAACCTCGCAGTGCATCCGCTGAATTATTCGGAATAACAGACGAAGGACAAGTATCTGAAAGTCTGTAGCAGAGATTAATTCACATTACGTTGGCAAATTTTCATTTTTCCCCCCACAAATTTATATCGTTCAAAATACTCAAATTACTTGTCAATTATATATTTCAAAAGCGGTTTTATATGTACGTCACTTTTGTTAACCGCGGTATCTGGTTTTATGTATCCGCGATTCTTAGGCATGTTCGGTTATCATGAATTGAATGTATCCATTAACTTCGCAACGTTTGACAGTATTTAACAACAGAACCGCTGAATGAATTTTCACAAATTTTGATGCCTAAAAGCACGTACGAGGTGCGATCGGAAAGTTTCAAGACTGTGCGTATAAAAACCCGTACACTTATCTCAGGTATTAAATTCATCCATCACCCTCGAAGTAGTTCCCCTGGGAGTGAACACAACGATCCCAGCGCCGCTGCCAAGCCTGGAAGCATCCCGGGAAATCTTTCTTTGTCAGCCTGTCAAGCACCATCTGCGATTCTGCCTGAATCTCTTCTATCGTCTCAAATCTCATTCCCTTTAGCTGAATTTTCATCTTTGGGAAGAGGAAGAAGGCACACGGCGAATAAGGAGGGTGCGGAATGACGGCCATGGTGT